GTTGAAAAGGTATGGAGATAGGACACATCCCTGGCATACACCCTTCCCAATTTTGAACCATGTAGTGTTACCCTGCTCTGTTCTGATGACTGCCTCTTTGTCCAAGTACAGGTTTCGCAGTAGCATGATTAAATGTTCTGGGATTCCCATTCTTCTCAGAGTCAGCCACGCAGTTTGTTATGATCCACACAGTCAAACACCTTTGCATAATCAATGAAACACAGATATACATTCTTCTGGTATTCTCTGCTTTCAGCTAAGATTCATCTAACATCAGCTACAATATCCCTATTACCACGACCCCTTCTGTGAACAACTGAATACTATTCCGTAAACTCCTGAAAGACGAACACCCTAGGTTGGAAGGCATTCAAAATACTTGTGGCCCCAACAAAGGGCTTGGGCATAACAATGATCCTGATGACGTGGCAGAAAGGACTTGACATGATTTTGTTCTGCTGGTATGGTGTCATTCAGATATAACTTGACTGCAACGAATGTAACAAACAACAAAAGACAAAAAATTGGAAAATGAGGAAAAGTCATGGAAGATGGTTGGGACTAGAACATCCTCAACATGTTCTGTATGAATACACATTTTAATGCCCTACACATTTAAAAGCAGTTTCCATTTACGATTTTCACTGAAATACCATTATTTGAATAATACGAATCAAAGTAGAAGCTCTAACTTATGGCACTGGAAAAATCCCAAGTTACCTGAATACCAAACCAAACCCCCAAACCTGTTTATTTTGAAACTATAAATACGATTGGAGAAAGAACAGGGATAAAAGAAAATAATTTTGTACTTTTGAGTTTTTAATGACTTCCATACTAAAAAACCAAAGCAAACTAAACCCATTGCCACCAGGTTGGGTCTGATGCACAGCATACCTCCCTGGGCTTTCCAAGGCTATAGATCTTTAAGGGAGGAGAATGCCCATCTTTCTACCCTGCAGCAGCTGGTGGAACCCAGCACCGTATCACTAGGCCTCCCTAACGACCCATCTCCAAAGTTGCTGCTAGGTGCTGGAAAAGTCACCTCCGACTTAAAAGGACAATATCCACAACAGAACAAAACCTTTACCACCCTCGCAGTCTCCACTGTGCTTAAGCCCAGTGTTGTAGTCAACCTCACTGCAGGTCTTCTTCTCTTTCACTAACCCTTTACCTTTCCAAGCATGATGATGTCTTTTCCCAAGGACTAGCCCCTTCTGATAACATGCCCAAGTATATGAGACAAAGTTTCAGCATCCTCACCTTTAAGGAATACCCCAGCTACACTTCTCAGATCCATTTGTTCTTCAGATATATACTTTCCACCTACACCATAATTCAAAGGCATCATTTCCTCTTTAATTTTCCTTACTCATCATCCATACTCCAAATGAGATTTGAAAGGAACTACTTGTTTAATATAATTTTCAATATGCCAACTCAAGCTTCTAAGCGCTATTTGAAATAAATGAATCTTAACTACATCGTAAAGAGTTAAACATTTCTCCTTGCTCCAGTCTAAAAACCTTTTACTTTTAGGAATGTTAAACATGAATTTATGGTAAGAAATCTTACTCTGAATTTTTAGAAAACATATTTAGTACTTCTCTTAGGCAAATAAACCAGGTTCATAAGGTTGTGATGAGTCAGTTAATTTTACTAAAAATAACAAAAGCAACAATAGGAGAATTTTATAAACTCAAAGCACAAAACTTGTTTTATTTCTATTTAAAAAGACTGATAATATTTACTGGCAAAGATATGGAGAAATCAGTACTTAGGGGAGTTTAACTCTGTACAGCCTTTTTTTAAGGTAAACTGGCATTAACAAAATTTTAAACAGGCATATGCACTTGAATATT